TCCTTTCCTTCCTTCCTTCCCTTCCTTCCTTCCTTCTTTCCTTCTTCCCTCCCTCCCTATTTCCTTCCTTCCTTCCTTCCCTTCCTTCCTTCCCTCCTATCCTTCCTTCCTTCTTTCCTTCCTCCCTCCCTCCCTATTTCCTTCCTTCCTTCCTTCCTTCCTTCCTTCCTTCCTTCCTTCTTTCCTCCCTCCCTCCTTCTCTCTCTCTCTCTTTCTTCTTTTCCTCCAGCACAAGGCTGACAGGAGGGGGAAAAATAACACAGAATCTCAAGCAGGTTTTCACTCATGAAATTTGAAGGTGCTATGGAGCAAACACTGTAAACTAATATATATATATATATATATATATATTTCTCTATGTATAGTTATAGAAATGTACTTTAAAGAATCGTCACCTTAGTTGGGCACCGGTGGCTCCCGCCTGTCATCCCAGCTACTCAGGAGGCTGAGATCTGAGGATCACGGTTCAAAGCCAGCTCGGGTAGGAAAGTCCGTGAGACTCTGATCTCCCATGAACCACCAGAAAACCAGAAGTGGTGCTGTGGCTCACGTGGTAGAGCGCCAGCCTTGAGTGAAAGAGCTCAGGGACAGCGCCCAGGCCCAGAGGCTGGCCTCGAGCTCATATCCTCCTCTATCAGCCTCCTAAATATGGGTGGGACCCCTGTGCTCCACCGGCCCGGCTTCTGAACAGAATACTTCGGTTCATATTCATATTTCGCATTGACTTTCGGGTATATTTCCTCCCCCCCTCCCCAAATCCGTTCAGAAGTCGGGGTATAGATAACGTGTGATCCGTATCTTCCTCGATTGCTTTCGAGAAATAAAGGACCACTTGAGTTCTTCCCACCCCTCCCCCTTAAAGATAGATGTCTTCCCAGATATCACATCTGGCGATGAGGAGATTAAAGCCACAGTGAAGAAGAATTCCTCCACAAGCACACACACACACACACACACACACACACACACACACACACACACACACAGGTGCACCCACACAATGCCATTTTGAAATTCTGGCCATAGTTCCGTCCAATTTCAATTGCTCTCTCTCTCTTTCTCTCTCTCTCTCGCTGGCTGAGCATTCATCAGCTACCTGATTAGAATTTGTTTCCCCACAAACCATTGATCATCAGCCTATTACTAGGCAAATGACAGTTAATTACCCACTACATTAACCACTACGACCCGAGACCTGCTTGTGCTACTATCAGTCAACATGATGAATGGAGGGAACTCAGTAATGCATGGCCGGTCCTGAGCCGCCTGTGATCCTCTCGGCTCCTTCAATCTTCCTTCTAGGCCTAGGGGAGGAGGGTGGAGGGGAGAGGGAAAAAAAAAATCTATGGCAATCTGCATAATTACAAGCCCTGGGTTAAGAACAGACAAATGATTTGTTGCATCTAAGCAAAGTCCTTGGAGCTGGGCCCGGTCCCCCGATCACTGCCTGGGTGACACGGGTAACACTTCCACATTTTCCTTTGGCTTACACGCACAGGCACGCGTGCGTGCGTGCGGGCGTGCAAACCCTCCCCGGCGTGGGCCTGCGACGCGCCGATCCTGCAGATGTGATTTTTAATCATTAGAGGGCTCTTGAAGCAAGATTATCTTAATTATTCTCTGCTGTAAGCAGAGAATTAGGCTGCAGATAAAATTACCCCCCCCCGTCTCTCTCTCTCGTTCTCTCTCTCTCCATCACTTCTCATCTGCACCTGGATGGTGAAATGCTAATGATGAATTACCGTCCCTTCCCCTGAGGGAGTGGACCTTCCACGCGAGCCAGCCAGCGCGCCCGCGTGCTGCCTGACCAACAGCTGGAGGGCACGGCGCAAACCGATCTAATGCACTGCCAGAGCGGCGTGTTTGGTGA